AACTGACATGCTAAAGTGGACGGGGAAAGCTTATCAGGTCTCGGCCCTACACCAAGAACTAGAATATGCTGAGAGAGGGGGAAACAGTTTTCCCCAAGGAGAAGGACACCAGTTGATTATCCAGTACCAAATGGTCAGCCCTGAAAACATAGACATACAAGTAAGAGCACACAGACTGAGCAGATTGTGCTTATGTATTTAGTAATATATATGTATCTACAATATATGTATGCAACAACAATTAATGAAAAAAGAGGCCACGAATTTGAAAGAGAGTAAGGAGGGACATGTGGGAGATTTTGAAGGGATGAAAAGCAAGTGGGAAATGATATGATTATATATCTATATTATTACATAGATATTAATTATATCTATACTATTAATAACATTACACATTATAATCTCAAAAAATAAGTAATTTTAAATTGTTAAAACCTTGCCCCCTGTGCCACAGGAATAACCATCCTTTTTTATACAAAGAAGGCCTGATGTACATGTGTGATGTAAACACCAATATACATAAAGCTGGCTATGTCCTGGTCCTTCTAACTCTGTCCTGTATTTTTCTTTTTTTTTTTTTTTTGGTTTTTCGAGACAGGGTTTCTCTGTGTAGCTTTGTGCCTTTTCCTGGAACTCACTTGGTAGCCCAGGCTGTCCTCGAACTCACAGAGATCCGCCTGGCTCTGCCTCCCGAGTGCTGGGATTAAAGGCGTGCGCCACCACCGCCCGGCTCTGTATTTTTCTAACCATTGACTTCCCCTTCCCCCTGCATATGGAAAGCTTGACTTACATCTTCACTTTCCCATCTTCCGTGGTAGGACCTTAAGACTGGATCTATGGAAGACCCCAAGGCCTGCTTTCTATGAGGTCGGTATTATTACTGTCCTTGTGTGTCTCTATTTCTTCACATGAGTCTGTGTCAGTGAGAATAAATTAGAACCACCTTCCTGGATGTAAGGATGGCAATATTTGCCCAAGGAGCACAACTCTTGCAGAAGTCAGCCTTAAGGGTGGAGTGAGGAATTCTAATAAGGTTCTGCTAATGATGACACCCTGAAATTTCATTTCCTTCACTTCTGGGCTGGAATTTCAGAAAGTTAGCCAAGTAGAAGGCAAAATATGAAAGAGGCGAAGAAGTCAGAGGGAAATATGGTTGTCATCACAAGCCTCTGACTCATTCCCTCTCTTTCTCTCATACACACACACACACACACACACATACACACACATACACACACACATACACACACACACACACACACACACACACACACACACACACACACACACACAGAGCAGTCAGATTCTAGTATCATACCAATTTTTCCAAGATTCAGACAGTACAATATTTCATTTTAGGATCAGCCAAACTATTTTCTTTAACATACTCAGAAAATCACACAACACACACACACACACACACACACACACACACACACACACACACACACACACACACCTAGTTTACAGTGAAAGATATCAGAATACATAAGATAAACTTGTGAAAATTATTATTTCACAGGTATAAGATGAAAAATTCTAGGAGGAAGTAAAAATAGCTATAAAAATCAATACAATGATGACAGGTGGCTATATTGCCCGTCACATTAGCATTAGTTCAAATTACCACCAAATTCAGGGAAATAGACTTTTTCATACCATATTGATAACAATAAACAGTAATAATACAGTGAATGTATTTTGTCAGTGTATACATAGCACACATTTCATAGTTTTCAAGGGACATTTTGAAAAAATTAATGTAAAAAATGATTTGGAATGCATTTGCTTACATATGTACATAGGTATTGAAACTGAAGTTTAATTTTAAAAATGTAAAGAAATTAAATTTATTATAAAACTACAGGTAAAATGAACTTGGCATCGATTCTAAAGAAACAATTTGATATAAAATTTAAGATGAAATTGTATTGTAGAGGTATTTTAAATGTATTTCTATATAAACAGGGTCATAATATAGGCAAAGGAGGTTACAAAGAACACAATGGCCAGGATTCACTTTTGTTCATATGTCTCTTAGCTAGCTATCCAGCAGACCTACACATGAAAATGAAAATAAATCATTTTGTGCTTCTCACATGGCTTTCAATTCAACATAGTGTTAGGCAGTACTCTCAGTCTGGCAGCCTTAGCAGCCTTAAACTGTGGAAACATCCCCTTTATCCATCTAGACCTCCAGAAAGCTTTATGGGCATAATTAGCCTCGGCCCCTCCCTCTCACCTAGCTCACCAGGCTTCAAGCTGCAGTTCATGATTTGACCACCAGGTGGCAAAAGTACGCCATCCACAGCAAACAGCTACAAAGACCGTTCCACAATAAGAAAAAAAAAATGATAGCCCTTAAAATAAGCTTATAAAAATGATTCTAATTCTTTTGAAGGTAGAAACTGTATGTGTAAAGAATATCATAAAATCATATACATGAAAATCAGCATATAATTCTAGCACACTATTACAGTCAGCAGCAGGCACGGGGGCTCTAGGGAGGTGTTTAGTAGATAAAGAGGGTGCTGGCTACAGCTTTGTCTATAGTGTCCTAGAGAAAGGGTGGCAGAGAGGGGTTGGAAAAGGGCCTAGAAAGACTGTATAAGGGTGGGATAATGGAAGATTAATGCAGTGGCCTTTGTGTGGATCGTCAGCCTACACGGATTGCCAGGTAGATCTGGGGACAAACAGGAAACAGAAAATGGAGCTACTTTAATACACGTACGAAGTTTCCAAACAACTGCAGTCATAGGAAATGATTCATTTTAGCACACTCGTTAGTCTTTATAACATCTTTCCCTTTGCATTGAAAAGAGAAAAAGAAATTGTGCGTACTGGCACCCATCTATAAGCTCAGCACTTACGGGACTGAGACAGAAGGATTGACAGTTAGAGGTCAGCCTGGGAAAGCACTGTAAATTCCAATCCAGCCTGGCTGGACTCTCAAATCAAAACAAAGAGCAAATAAAAATAAGGTAAGATAAAATAAAATTAGATAGGGCTATCAACTGCTGAGCAGAAGGTTTACAGCTTTGTTAGACCAGGGAGCTGAGAAAAAAGGGACACAGATTCAGAATATGCCTTGAAATTCCAGAATTTTCTGGAATTGCTGAACTAATGGGAGGAATCCTACTGAAACTATCACAGGAACATCTGAAACAGAGATTACCTCCTTCCTCCCATCCGAAATAAGATGAAAGTGCACCTGGCAGTGCTCAGGGTCCCCTCGGGGTTAAGGGATGGACTCCGGCCAACCCTGTCAGACATCTGGAGATGAGCCTGAGCTTGTTCATCTGTGAGAAAGGACAGGCCAGGCTTTTCCTACAGAGATGCCCCGAGGGGAACGGAGGAAATGTTCCCAGTGTGCATGGCACAGAGTGGGACATTGATGGCTTTTAACTGTTGGGACACGGTAGCAGGATTCGGCTGAGCTTTAGATCTGAGGCAGGCACCGTGAAAATCATTCCTCTGTTTTTTTGCCTAACAAGAACACAGACATCTACAGTAATGAAGAAATATCTCTCTGGCGTCCTTTGTGTTCACAACTTGAGTCAGGAAGTGCTTTCTGTCCTTGGGTCTTCATAATGTGACAAGAGATGTTTCACATCATGCCTCCAAGCAAACCTCCAAGCAAATCAGGGCCCAACCTGGGAAGACAGGGCCCACCTATGCCTTGATCTGAGGAGCTGACTGGTGCTGGGTGGGCCTAGTGGCTGCCCCAGAAAGTGTATAGCATGTTAGTAACATCTGTGTAGAAAAATGCTGGACCTGCCCTGCTATCACCACATGTTAGTAACATCTGTGTAGAAAAATGCTGGACCTGCCCTAACCAGTCCTTGGATCTATCCAGACACATCACACCACGTGAAAATTTCACCTATGTCCTGACTGTGCAGGGACAAAAATTCAAGGTAACAGGCATTTATTTGACACACAATAGTCTGTTTTTTCATTTCTCAGCAACTAAATGTTTCTTGAACACAAGACCTTCACTGTTCTATTAGAGGTGATCCATTATTCCCCTAGTAAATACAAGAGAAGAGGGATGAATGTGTGTGTGGATTTTCAGTCTGAGAGGAGCTGCCCCCACCCCCTAGATTTAAAGTTTCCTATATTCTCTGCTAACATTTCATTTCTCCCTCCATCCCTACCAGAGGTGATTTGGTTCAGGTCCCTTGGCTGCACCAGATATTCTGTCTCCAAGGTCACAAACTTTTTTTTAGCACACGGTACAGTTAGTTGTTTATATAAATGTTAACATACTGATTGTTATTATTTTTTTTTAATTATTTTTTTAAGGATTTATTTATTTATTATGTATACAATGTTTTGCCTGCATGTATGCCTGCAGGCCAGAAGAGGGCACCAGATCTCATTACAGATGGTTGTGAGCCACCATGTGGTTGCTGGGAATTGAACTCAGGACCTCTGGAAGAACAGCCAGTGCTTTTAACCGCTGAGCCATCTCTCCAGCCCCTGACTGTTATTTTAATGGTGTTTTAACATATGCTCGATTGTACAGATCATTTCTCTCCCTTAACAATAAGTCTTTGACAGTTCCTCAGGCTCTGGAGTGCGATGTTCTGAGTGCAAATGCAAGCTGTCCTACTCTGTAACTCTGCAGCCTTGAGCACTGTCCTTCTCCTCACTGCCCCGTAGTGTTTCATCTATGCTGTACAAAGATGATCAGCAATGTTGCCCATCTTGGAAGTGTGCTCTGAGCACTGAATGACTCAACACTTTAAAAGGGTATGGTACATTAGAAATGTTCATCAATTTTTAAATTTGGTTTTATGTATCATTCTTACTATTGTTTTTCTTACAACTATAGTAAAAACACATCATAGGCTGATGTTTGCTCACAATCAGTTACATTTGAGATGTGTTATTACCAAACAGCCTAGGTGCCTAGGGCAACCCTATCAAATCACCACACATTTCCGATCATTAGACAACAGGAATTTCTTTTCGTGCTAAGCCTCCAGAAGAGATACCTTCTTTGCCTCTCTTGCAGCTTTCCTGGTGGATGCTGCTTTCCTGGTTTTATGGCAGTATCACTGCAAGTTCAGTCTTCTTTGATCTTCCCTTTGTATGTCAGACTTCTCTGTCTCTGTTATGAGGACAACAGTTGTTAGATTCTAAATCCAGGATAATCTCTTCTCAAGATCCTAAATTGCACAGTCATGAATTTAGGCATTGGGGGGCTAAGGCTTGGACATACTTCATTTGATGATGCCATTAAGACCATTCTGGTTACAAGCAAGAGTGTAGTTAAAACTACAATGACATCATACATTTTGCACCTAAATAAAAAAAAATCATCCTAAAGAAAGCTTGTGAAGGCCTGGAGAGATAGCTCAGTGGTTAAGAGCACTGGCTGTTCTTCTAGAGGTCCTGAGTTCAATTCCCAGCAACCACATGGTGGCTCACAACTGCCTGCAATGAGATTTGCTGCCATCTTTGGGCCTGCAGGGGCACATGCAGTCAGAATACTGTATATATATTGTGTGTATATATATGCATATATATATATATATATATATATATATATATATAAAAGAAAGCTTGTGAAGTAACATGAAAAGTTGACAACATTAGCAGGGCTTATTTTTTGCACTGTTTTGGGGGATGTTGTTTTCTATTACTTCACATATGTTTTAGACACTTATCACTTATGTAAATAAATTATTAAATTTGTTGATCATAATTGTCTATTGTACAACTGTCTACCTACAGAACACTTACTTCAGAATGATAACACAGGGAGAAAAGATTCCAAGCAGTGTTGTATAAAATACTCTACACCTATTTCCCAGCATTCCAAACCATGCCTGTTGTTTGCTTGTTTTGTTTTCTTTTCAGTATCTTATCCCTGCCCACTCAACTGAGAAAACCAGTTTCACTTCTTTTGGTGTGCCTTGGTTAAGAAAAACGCTAGTCTTGTCTCTGAGAAACAGTAAGTAGCAAATACTGGTTAGGGGTATTTACCTTGGACCCACATGACCTGTGTTCATTTCTCACCCTCATCACTTGCTGCCTGTGCCCTTTCTGTTTTCATTTTCACATGTTTTTAAAGAAATCTTTTTAATGTACCCTTTTTCCTTTTTCAATGTATATTTGTTTATGTAATTTATGTATATGAGTGCTTTGTCTTCAGGTATGCCTGCACACCAGAAGAAGGCTTCAGATTCCACCATAGACGGCTGTGAGCTGTCGTGTGGGTACTGGGAATTGAACTCTGACCTCTAGAAGAACAGCCAGTGATTTTAAACACTGAGCCATCTATCCAGGCCCTAGTTCTGATATTTTTAAAGTCATGAAAATATTAACTACTCAGTTACCAGCTGTGGGAAGTCTTAAATTAGTAAGCATAGCCTTGGCATTGACAATAACTTTGGGGCACTGAGGAAGTCAGGAATAAATATTAACCATATTAATTACTCTTTTCATATTGTCTTAGTCACTGTTCTATTGCTGTGAAGAGGTATCATGACCAAAGCAACTCTTATGAAAGAAAGCATGTAATTGGGGGCTTGCTTGCAGTTTTAGAGATTTAGTTTATTATCATAGTAGGGAGCGTGGCAGCCTATAGGCAAGCAATGGAGCAGTAGCTGAAAGCTACATCCAGATCCACAGACAGCAGGAATAGAGAAAACCTAGGCCTGGCATGGGCTTTTTGAAACCTCCAAGTCCACCCTCAGTGACAAACTTCCTCCAACAAGGCCACACATCCCAATCCTTCTAATCCTTTCAAATAATACCACTCCCTAGTGACTATTCAACTATATTAGCCTATGAGGCCATTCTTATTCAAACCACCACACATACTTAATATGATTGCCATGTGGATTTCTAATGGTAAGTATGGATTGACCTTCATAATTTGGAAATGAGAAAACGGTAACATGGGGGCTAGAGAGCTCAGCAGGTAAGAACACTTGTTGCTATTGCAAAGGACCCAAGTTCAGTTTCCAGAATCGATATGGTGGTTCACAACCACCTGAAACTCCAGTTCCAGAGAGTCTAGCACCCTCTTCTGAACTCCACAGTCACCATGGGTACGCATGGTGCACATACATACTTGCAGGCAAAACATTCAAACACATAAAATAAATAAATTCTTTTGTTGTTGTTTTGTTTTTTTCAAGACAGGGTTTCTCTATGTAGCCCTGACTGTCTTGGAGCTCACTCTGTAGACCAGGCTGGCCTCAAACTCAGAGATCTGCCTGCCTCTGCCTCCCAAGTGCTGGGTGGGATTAAAGGCATTCACCACCACTGCCCAGCAATAAATTCTTTTTAAAAACTAAAATTAAAATGAATATGAGTAATGTTATCTGATTCTTGTTCTTAACTGTTTATATTTGCATAAACTTCAGTAAAATGTTTGAATATGTATTCCAAAAATTAGAGAGAAAATTTTAAGATTCATTCACAGATAAGAGAATTTTAAATGTGTTTAAAGAACTGAAGGTATGGCTTGGTGTTACAGTTGCTTGCAAAGCATGAAGCACGAGGTTCAACCCCTACTATAAAAAAAAAAAGGCCGGGCAGTGGTGGTGCACACCTTTAATCCCAGCACTCGGGAGGCAGAGCCAGGTGGATCTTTGTGAGTTCAAGGCCAGCCTGGTCTACAGAGCGAGATCCAGGAAAGGCACAAAGCTACACAGAGAAACCCTGTCTCGAAAAAACAACAACAACAAAAAACAAAAAGAAAGAAAGAAAGAAAGAAAGAGGGAAAAAAACCAAGGCATATACTATAATTCTGGCACTTAGGAGGCAGAGACAGATGGGTTGCCACAAGCTTAAGGCCATCCAGGTATATATGGTAAGATTTTTGTCTCAAAAATTTTAAGGGTCTTTTTTTTTTACTGATGTTTTCTTTTTTGGTATTCTCCATTTTATTAACAACAATAAAAATGTAGAAGTAAAAAAAAAATAAGGATAAATATTTGCAGCCTTTCCCATACAAAAAAAATAATACAAAGTCTGATGGAAAAATCCCCAAGCCCCCGTAATTTGGTTTAGAATACTTTAGAACTGTGTATACCTCTACCCACTTGACAGCCCCAAACAAGCATCTTCAAGGACATGATAGACACCTAGAGGGAGGGCAGGAACATTCCTCAGAAGGATTTTACATTCAACAGTCTCCACTAAAGGAAGTCTCCCCTTTCCCGATAAAAGTGAAGACTGTGGAATGAAAAATTATTCCAACATGCTTCTCCTTGGCCTATCTCAGATGAAGCCCCTTGGATTTTTGTCACACTCCTGTCCCCCCACCCAGCTAGCTACCCCTTGAAATCCTATCAGCCCAAGTTAGCCACAGGGTGACTCCATCAGGGGAAAGGATGAGGAGCCACACTACATCACTCCATGCTCAACTCCACAGATTCCTCAGAGCGATCAAAGTTGAGTCACAGTCTCATTCAGCCCACGGTCCCAGGAGTAATAAGCACATGGGGATGAGAAAACCTTCCTATTAGTGCACAGACCTTCTATCTGCTCTCCTCTGTCTTCCTCCCAGAACTAAGGCCATAATCCCCTACCGTCTGGTCCTATAAAGAACCCCTGAACATTGTCTTCTTTTACCAGGATGCTCCAGATAATAGAAGCATACTAATATAATAATATAAGGAGTAAAAGTGCAAGTCAAAGATGAAAAATTCGGCCTAGGATATTGGGAAGATGGTTCATATTCATTATTTTTGGCAACCTAGCTCCTAGAAACCTGAGACTCAAAATATTAGCTATTGATTCCATTAGTACTCCCTTCATCACAAGTGGAGAAAATGAGTGTCTGTTATAATAAGTCTGGAAAAGGATACATGTGGACCATCTGGAAGGGCATACATGACAGTTTTGGATGTACATGTGTATTCATTCTCAGGTCCAGGGATACAGCATTTCCATGGGTATCTACACTCTAAACTGAAGATCTATGACGGCACTATGGCCACCCACACCTCTGACACAAAGAGCCATTAGAAAACTGATCTATTCCATACCCTGAGCCTCAGCACTGGGCCCTCATTATGCAGGACCATGCTCTAGGCAGTAGCTCAGTGACAGCTAAGGAGACCACCACCCTGATGTCAGAACCACTCTAACTCTGCTCACATATGTGTTCCTGTTCTATGATGCCTGGATACTTCTCAAGCACATGTGTCCCCTGTACGTTGTACTAATGTAGCAATGCACCCTAGGTTTCAGGTCCTGTTTGACTCTGGATCCCAGAGATGAAAGCCCTTTCATGAATGCTATACTTCGGGTTTGTTTTCTGGAAGTTTCCTGGACAACATTCATCAGACACCACTACCACTCCAGACGACTGCAAGAAGGATGCATCCAATAGCAGCATAACACACATTCTTCCCCACCATGCATACAACATTCTCTATGGCAATTCATAGCTTAGGACATAAGATAAGTCTTAAAAGTTTCAGAAAGTTAGAAATTATATAAAGTTTCCCTCTCCTTCCCTCTCCTTTGTCTCCTCCCTTTAAAAAAAATTTTTTTTGAAACAAGATTTCACTACGTAGCCAAGCATGGTATTGAATTCACAATCCCTCTCCCTCAGTCTTCCGAGCACTGACACTATAGGCATGTGCTATCACACCCAGAGCCAGTGTGTTTTACAAACAAAACAGTGAAAAACTAAAAAGAAATGGGAGGAAATTAACCATGCTTGTAAACAACCAAAGAGACAAACATTTTAAATGCAAAAAATATATTGACACAAAAATGGAAAGATAAATTCACCCAAATGCAAAGGAAGTCATTCTATAAAAAGGAAAGTCATAGCAATTTATGCTGCTATCAAATGAGAAGAAAGATCTCAAATTTTTTTTAAAGTAACACTATATTTCAAGGAGCTAGGAAAAAAAGAATGCTTATAACCTCAGCAGAGGCAGGCGTCTCAAGTCAACCTGTCAATCTGGGCTACATAGAGTTTCAGGCCAGTCTGCACAGCAAGATCTTGTCTCAAAAAAAAAAATCAAATGGACACTAAGACCAACTTTAGGGGATTTTTGACATATAGTGCTCATAAAAAATTGAGCAATAAAATATATAATTGTAATAACACATGATAATTCTTTGAGCGAAATAAAAACCTATGAGCCTTATTAGCTCTATTCAGCAGTCAAATGTCAATTAATACATGCAGAAGGAACGGTGGAATTATAAAAACAGTGCTTGACAACTAGCATCATAAGAAGTGATTCAAAAAAGCCTCATAAATGGATGCTCAGTTTGCACCAAATCCCACAGCATTCACTGAGTCACCATGGTAACCATGATGGCTAAGGAAAGCTGAGAAAAATCAAACATCACAGCCCTCCATTTGCTTCCTAATATGTACTAGGAACTGAATGTAGCTGACATAATACACAGTAATTAATCTCAAATATTTATTATAATTACTCTCATGGCTTACACAAATATACATACATGTCTATACACACACAATCTTTTTCTCAAAACCCCAGAACGCAGGAATTCCTCAAGACAGATTTGTTTGGGGGATAAAAGATGAAAATTCCACAATGCAATTGTAAAAATTAAGAGCTACTAAACTATTTTATTTTGCTGACTTGTTTTTCTAAAAATTACCTATAAAATTGCCTCAGGAACATTTTTCTCCCTAGTTTGAATATATTGTCAATGACTTCTAAAAGCTGATAATAGAAGTTTGAGCAAATAGATGATGTGACAATTATATGTGTCAACCGTGCTACAGCGCCCAGACATTATTTTGGATATGTCTATGAGTGTGCTTTGGATGAGATTTACACTTGAACCAGTACACTAAGTAAAGCGGACTGCCCTCCACAGTGTGAGTAGGCCTTGTCTGTTACTCAGAGGCCTAGATAAAACAGAAAGCTGATGCTCCCTAGTAAAGAGGTTATTCTGTGACTCATTCTGGATTTCATTTACGATACTGGCTCTAGCAAGTCACCAGCAGACTGGCTATTGATTCATATTTCAACTGTTCATTTAGTCTGAAAATTGTTGGCCTTTACCATCAAAATTTGAACTCACCAAGCATCCAAAATCATATGAGCTAATTCTTTGGTATCTCTAGAGAGATAAATACATAGATGATAGATAGATAGATAGATAGATAGATAGATAGATAGATAGATGGATGGATGGATAGATAATAAAGTAAGTTCTTGAATTTTCTCATGTGTGGTGATAGTACATCATATTGGAAGGGCTATCTATTTATTTTTGCCCAGAGTATTTTGCCAGCACCCTCCCACTGTATACTTTAAATGAAATCTACATGGGGTGTGCCACAACTATATATTAGCTGTATTTCAGGGAATGAATACAATATTCGTGGTTTATTGAATAATTCCTAGGTAATGTGTGCTTGAAGTCCTATAGAGAACTAAATTTTCTATATGTATAGAAAATACTTTTTTGATACTTTGAAGTGGAAATGGAGTAAATAAGTTATTGAAACTATTCAATTTCAATTCGGAGATGAATGTGGAGGATGCTTCCTACATTTCAACATCTGCATGGTGCAGATGTGAAGATGCAAAAGGTGTTCCTGGTTTGATTAGCTCTGTACTTTTTAAGAGAATAGCTTCTTCCTTTCAATTAGGACTATACAATTAGGTGGCATTCTACCATCACAGTTTAAAAGTAAAACGTTTGTGCCTCAATTCATACCACATTTTTAAAAGGAATGCCTCACTGAGAAGGAAAATACTAAAGTAGTTCCATTAAGATCTATGTCTTAGTACTCAGTATTCTGTGTCATATGCAAATGCTTGTCTTAGATGCAGAGGCCTTTTGTTTGGTTAAATGTGTATTTTAGCAGAGTTACAAGGAAATGATTGTCATACATGTCTCTTAGTGTAGTAAGACAGTATATAAAATACTTTTTTACAAGCACAAAAAGTTCTATCATTCATAAGAGCATCAGAGCAGGAAATGTATGGGATGATGCTGTCCACACACGTGTAGAGCTTATATGCTGAATGCTAAAACATTGCTGAGAGATCTTGAAAAGGACATACTATCATCATGAGTCAGAACATTCAATATCATTGTCTATTACCCTCAAATTTATCTATAGGGTCAGTTCAACTCTGATTTTTTTTTTTTCGAGACAGGGTTTCTCTGTGTAGCTTTGCGCCGTTCCTGGAACTCACTTGGTAGCCCAGGCTGGCCTCGAACTCACAGAGATCCGCCTGCCTCTGCCTCCCGAGTGCTGAGATTAAAGGCGTGCGCCACCACCGCCTGGCTCAACTCTGATTTTTAAAAAGTTCCAGAATGTACTTTTTGTTTGTTTGTTCTGTGAAACTCCCTATGTAGTTCTGCTGTCCTGGAACTCACTTTATAGACCAGGCAGGCCTCAAACTCAGAGATCCATCTGCCTCTGCTCCTGAGTGCTGGGGTTAAAGGCATGTGCCACGATGCCTGGTCTCAGAATATACTTTTTAAGAAGAAATTAACAGGTCTATTCCAAAGAGCATATGGAAATAAAAAAAGGACCTGTACTATGAAAACATTCCTGAATTTCAATATTCATTATAAATAAACTTCCAATAAAAGACACTGGCTGAGTGCCCTCTAATTCAATTTAATTTTCACACTACCATAGAATGAACTCTCAGTCTCAGAGATGCCTGTGCCTCATTTTAAATGCTACTCACGAGCCTAGACTAGTTTGTTTTGTGCTTCTATTACAATCCACTCTTCAGGTTTGACTAACTTGTTTGGGCATCTCCCAAAACTCAAGGAAAAGTTTTTAATCAGTTTCATATTAAATGATAATATGGAGGACTTAGGCAAAGAGATACATAGCAAGCTACAGAGGAAGGGATCCAATGTATCTATGCCTTCTCTAGGTGCCACCCTCCAGGAATTTCCATGTAGTGAGCTATACGGTGGAACTTTGAATTCATCCCTTTCAGATTTTTACAAATGCTTACTTACATAGACATAATTGAAGGACAGACAATCATGTAGAAATGTGACTGGACAAACAATATGATCTATGCTGACAGACTGGTTGGTAAAACCCAACAAGGCCTGTCCATATTTTTCCTGACCATTCTATACAATATTCCTTCCTCTCTGATGTGAAGAAGAACTCTTATTGAAATGGGGATCTTTGGGCAGTGGTGGCACATGCCTTTAAATGATGGTGCATGCCTTTAATCCCAGCACTCGGGAGGCAGAGCCAGGTGGATCTCTATGAGTTTGAGGCCAGCCTGGTCTACAGAGCAAGATCCAAGACAGGCACCAAAGCTACACAGAGAAACCCTGTCTTGAAAAAAAGAAAAGAAAAGAAAAGAAAAGAAATGGGGATCTTATGATAAGGTAGATCAGAAAATTTCTTTATGGCAGTCCATACCAAAGATATTAGAGATCATATGACTCACCTTGTGGAAGAGAAATTCTAGAATCTGTTGCATGCGTTAGGGAGGTAATTATGAGCCAGGAACTGCAGATGAAAAGATATGCATATGTATGTTATATATCATAATAAAACAAGAAGTAATTGTTGATGTTATTATCATTATTATTGCTATTATTATTCATGCAATCAGAAAATAAAGTAAATGGTAATATTTAGTAACATTACAAATGAATTTTAAGCATCAATTTCTTTCCTTAACCGCTTTGTGACAAAGCAGTCCTCTATAAAATGTGCTTCAAGACCTACTACAAACCATGTAGCTGATGCCAAAAGAATACTCCACCTGATGCACCTCTTCAATGAGGAAATCAAAGTAGGTTCCACTTTCACACTGTTTTCTGAACCCCGTGCAAGCCATTCTACCACATATCCGGCTCTATGGTGTCACTGAAGGTAGAGAGAAGTGCCAGGGTATATTGGGCACTGCTGCACTTCAGATCTAGAGTAGATACTTCAGAAAGCATCATTACACACTGCTTCCTTAAGACACCTGGTATGAAGATCAGTCACTGGAAGAACAGCTGCCCAGAAGGAAACTGAATCCAGCAGTCACTGTGCTTTGAGGAATAAGTATGTGCCCTGCATACTTTGGATGCACCAGTGAGCAACCAAAGGCACTGAAACAATGGAGTATTGATCATAACAATGGGCTTCTTTCTGGGGTCTTTTTCTTCTCTTGGGCTCATCTGTCCCCTAGCAACAAATCTGAAAAGAAAAAGGAAGTAAACAGTATGGTGATAAACATGGATATGCAAATATCTCTGCAGTAAGATTTGAGTCCTTTGGGTATATACCCACCTAGATGCTCATCAATAGATAAATAGAGAAAATAAATGTAGGATATATACACAATAAAGGAAAGTGAAGCTATAATATTTGCAGGAAAATGGAACTGGAGATCATTGTTACATGAAATAAGCCAGACTCCTAAAGTCAAATATCACTGGGGAGGTAATCATCATTATCATCATCGTCGTCAATAAAATAATAAAAATGAGTTTTATCTCATATGCAGATTCGTGTGTGTGTGTGAAAGAGAGACAGAGACAGACAGAGAGAGAGTGTGTGAGAGAGAGAAAAGAGATGAAACTAGAGAAAGGAACCATGAGAGAGAAAGGAGATATTAAGGTAGGAGATGGGGATAAAAAGAGAATAAAAATTTATGAAACATGAAATCAGAGAAGGATGGTGTTGGGAGCGAGGAAGGAAGAGAACCAGCAGGATGGAGGAAAGAGCCAGGAGGGGAGCTGGGGAGGAGGCACACCAAAAATAATGCATGAAAATGCAAAAAAAAAAAAATTGAAACTCATTACTTTGTACGCTAGTTTTTAACACTGTAAAATAAAGCGGCCTGGAATAATATAGGGATTGGTGATCTCACAATAACCACAGGCAGGGTCTTTGGATTGCTCATGTGTTATTATTGAAGGTGACAGACTTCCAATGGATGAGCATCGGGACCCTCATGTCACAGACGGGGAAGCTAAACTCAGAGGGAGCCATCACATGTCCTGCTCTCACGAACGCCCAACCTGTAACGTGGAAAGTGGATTCAGGACAGCATAATCTCTGGGGTTAAGAGGGTCTCACTCTTCTCCCTCAGAGGTATTCAGAGAATTAACCAAGCACCAAACCAGAAACAGGAACAAACCAACTTGAGTCTGGGATCTTGAAGTCTGTCTCCTCCACAACCGGGCACTGACATCTGCATCTTTTTGTACAGGCACGTGGAGGAAGGATGCTGTTCTCACTAGATAAAGCAAGTCTCCATTTAAAAAAAAATCACTTCGCCCACCTCCGTCGTCTCGATGACGTCAGGTTACCATGGAAATCGCGATAAGCAGGCTCTTCATCAATACCGGAAGTGCCTCTGAGGCACTCTTCCATTCTTCACTTACCTTCCCCTTCAAACAAAAAGCCTTCAGTACGCAGCCTGCTGCTTTAAAAGCCTAATTTGAGGGTCTAGGAAGGGATGCAGACAATTGGCTGCATGCTCTCAGCCTGCAGAATCTCTAAAGTCAGATTTTTTTCTATAAAACTGACCTTTCCGCAGTATTATCAGTATGCACGGACTTGAATATGTCTCCTGGAAGTCTTGGAGATGAGCTAGCCCTCTGATGGAAACATGTAAGATACTCATATACTCCATCTTTGTAAGAAAACTAAATTGCTTTCTAATGCCTTGACGAAATACTCAAGAAACATTTAAAATATTGTCATTTTAAGGACTTTCAAAATTATTTCAAAGATGCAGGGTTGATACAGTTGTTTATTACGCATAAACTTAGAAATTTAATTGAAGTATATTGGGTTATGCTAGCAAACTCCTCCATTTCAGATATTTTTCTCCAGATAATTTTTCTCAGCATCATCCATGACTAAAGAAACATGTGTCTGTGAGTTCAAGGCCAGCCTGGTCTACAAAGCGAGTTCCAGGAAAGGTGCAAAGCTACACAGAGAAACCCTGTCTCGGGGGGGCGGGGGGGGGGGGCGGGGGGGGGGGGGGCGGGGGGGGGGGGAGAAACATGTGAGTTTTCTGCAGACTCCATCCTCTATTGTATGAATCACTTGTCTGAACATATTTTGGACATGAAGACATGAATAACACAGTCCAGGCCCTCTCCCTTCAAAACTCTTGGTTATATTCTTTACTTAGACAACTTACATTTTGCTGTGCCCTCCGGTTTTGGATATTCTATTAGGCACACAGCTCATTTTCCCTGTCAGTGTCTCTCTGAATAGACAGCTATACTATGGTTTCCCTCTCAAATTTTAGAGTCCTTAAGAGGAACCTTAAACAATCCCTTCTCCAAATATGAACAATAAGCTAACTAAAAACTACAACAAAATTCAGGGATGATATATCAATTTTATCTTTTGTGTATGAAAATAAAGGGGCTGGCAAGAGAGCCCAGGCAGTAGTGACACTCGTCACCAACCTGAGCTCAAGCCCCAGGACACACATGGCAGTAGCAAACCTAACTCCTGAAAGCTTGTCCTCTGACCTTCATACATACATCGTGACATGCATGCACTATACACAGACCCCACAGCAAATAAATAAATAAATATGCTTTAAAATTTAGAAGTGAAAATATATGAGAACATTTTCAACATAAATATAGGAAAAATATCACACATATGGGAATATAAGCTAAGATGAGCTGGTAAGGGGACAGAATTGCCATCCAACAATACTGCATAGGAACAGCAGGCAAAGATCTGGCATGATGAAGGCTTCCTGTATGCATGTGCTCAGAGAAAGTAGCTTCCTGGACAAAGGATATCACTGTGGCAGAAGAAAGTGATTCTGAACAGCTTCTTTGAGGACTACTTCTCAGTGGAAACAAACATCCCTTATTCTGAGAGCATATTCATCAATCAAATATCTGAGCTTGTAGATGTCTCTGTAGCTCATTGAGCCTCTTGCGATGACAATGTATACTGCTTTAACAAACACTCTTACAGTGGATACTCCCTTTATGGAGGGGGATTTTAACTAAACTCCTAATTCTAAGAGCATAGTGAAAAAAATTGTATATAACAAAGGTTTATGTTGGACCTTCTCATAAACCCACAGCAACCATAGTCAAAATTAGAATAGAGCCCCTTCTTAAAACCTTAAAGAATAAGATTGTCCCATTCCTTTCCAATTATTAGAGCCTGTAACTAGGGAAGATGCATCAAAATTGTGTGGTTTACATTTCCATTTCTGAACCACACATGCACACATGCACACATGCACGCGCGCACACGCACACGCACGCACACACACACACACACACACACACACACACACACACATTAAAATCCATCAATTATTTGTCGGTTGAAAGGGCTCACCTGGGTGTTTTGTGTCCCCTGCATTGTGTGTCGCCCATGGTTGAAGTCACCCGGAGGTTCCACTCCCCCGGGACATCAGGAAACCTCCCTCACATGGAGACCACTGGGGCTGGCAGCTACTGAAGCTCGCCTAGGACATTGTTCAGAGCATGTTGGCTCTACTCCACAGAATGTTCCAGGTGCAGAGTTGCCAGACTAAATTAGTCCAGTTAAATTTGAATTTCAGCTCACAACAAACAGTTATACGAATGTGCAATATAATTTTTTTATCTGAAATGCAAGTGAAACTGGATGACCTACGTGTATTCAGATTTGTTAAATCTGACAACTCAGGAGAAGAAACTGAGTTCGTTAAACAAGAAGACATAGAACTTCTAAAAATAGATGCTTATAAAGCAACGGAGCATCAAAATCTGTGGAGCAAAAGCTGAGAGGACTGACAGGGGAACAGACAAATGCATAGTTATAATTGGAGTCTTCATCATATCTTGTTCAGTAATACAGGAGATTGGCAGAACATATTTTTAAGATAGAATGTAGTGTACATGCCCAATAGATCCACTTGGTCAATGGCTTTCAGCTCATCTGAACCTTGTTGCTTTTATTCTGCTTGACTCTGCCTCCAGAGTGCTGGGATTAAAGGCGTACACCATCATGCCTGGTTTATCCTGTGTCTCTTAAAGTATATCCGTACTCTACACCAGAAGCATGGTTATAACCTAAATTCTGATCCCCCCAAATTTGGTACATGGGAGTTTTCTTCTTTAATACTTTTGCATGTATTTTATTTCTATTGACACATTTTTACTTAATGCGTGAGTTAGTTAGATTTGTGTTTAATTTCTATGTTTTTGGATACTTTTATTTATAGTTATATTCATTGTTGTCAGTAACCCATATTTTGCTCCCCCCATCCCCACATGCAATGGTGAGGGTGGAACAATGTATAGGGCATTTTTAACTGTGCATAAAATTGCCCTTACACTCCATTAGAAGGCAGTATGCATATGGATGGTATTTTGATGAGCAGTGGGATACCAAGGAGAATAAAGATGATATTCAGTGTATACTTAACATTTTTTTTGTTTTTGTTCTTTCTTTGTCCCATCAAAAATGATTTAGGTAAAGTAGTTAGCTACACATGGTCTCTGATGTAAAATGCAAAATAAGTAAATAAATAAAATTATATCCCATAGGTAGCCAAAAATTTAAATAGATATAAATTTATGTTCCTTCCAAATTTAAATAGATACAAATTTATGTTCCTTCCAAATTATAACTCATTAAGTGAAATGGTTGTGGTCTCATAAAGAATAATATGTTTGGCCAGTCAGTGGTGGCGCATGCCTTTGATCCCAGCACTCGGGAAGCAGAGACAGGAAGATCTCTGTGAGTTCAAGGCTAGCCTGGTCTACAGAGTGAGTTCCAGGACAGCCAGGACTACACAGAGAAATAGAGAAATCTTGTGTCAAAAAACCAGAGAGAGAGAGAGAGAGAGAGAGAGAGAGAGAGAGAGAGAGAGAGAGAGAGAAAGAATAGTATGTGTGGGGCTGAAGAGACGGCTCAGCAGTTAAGAGCACTGGCTGTTACGGCAGAGAACCTGGTTTCAGTTCCTAGCACTCCTGTTAGGTGGCTCAGAACCACAGGCCACTCCACTGCAAGGGGGATCCAATGCCCTCTGTTAACGAGTGCAGGCAAGATGGTGATGGGAACATGGAACTTTTTTCAGAGACAGAAAGAGAATTCGTAACCATTTCAGTTTCTTTCAGCCCCATCTACGGGAAGTGGGGCCATGTGTCTCTGTGGCCTTTGTCCTATCTCTGTGTATCTTGACAGTCTAACCTGAATTCCAGGTGGACAGTCTTTTTGTCCTATTCACCTCGGGCTATACACTCACTTGGTAGAAGGATCTTAAGAGTCCTACAACAGGCCCTTATCACCAGCTGGATGGCAGCTTTCCATAATAAACGGGTAATATTCTGTTTGCTCCAGTGGCAGCTTTCATATCACATGCATCCCATTAAATCTTTTTTTTTTTTTTTTTGCCGTAAGATCTTCCCTCCCTTATGGTTCCCATGGTGGTGAGATGCTCTCTCTCTCTCTGTCTCTGTCTCTGTTCCTCTCTCTCTCTTCTTACATCTGTGTTTGCCATATGAAAGAAAAAATACAGGGTTTGTTTTTCTGAGACTGTTTATAAGTAGTAAACATAATGATTTCCAGCTCCATTTATTTTCCTGAAAATGTTGGTTTTACAGAGAGCAAAAGCAAGGTGCTATATATTTATAATTCAGTAGAGAAGTTCTGGAATAAGAGAAAGTGCTGCTATTATAATCGTCTCCAGCTCGACACAAAGGCCTGTGTGTAGACCAAAAACTCATCATAGAGCAATGTGATTTCTAAAACACAAATGACTGGACTGTGACGGATACATCAACATTGCAGACAATTTTCCTTTTATTTTACAGATTGATCCTATCTGAAGCCACCTCAAATGGGTCCTCAAGTAAATATCCAAGATAGCAAACAAATAGCCACAAGAAGTTCTATACAAGTAAGGCCTTTGGGCCACATTTTAAAGCAGCACTAATCTTCATTGTACAGGCACACAGTGCCAAACAATATACCGGTAGTAATGAGAGAACTGGGGTAGATAGGGTATAGATGAAATTCAGAAACACGGTACATGGTGAAAACTGACAATTACACAGTAGCAGCCTGTTAAACCTGTGGACCTATGTTGGTTAAAAAGTTTCCGGTACAGTTTTGGTGAAATGCAGGTGTTTGGAGCCTACCCCAGACATACTGAGTCTCTTTATTTGATGTTCTTTTAGTGTATATGATTACTGCTTTATACACTGGTGATACATTATGTCCTGGGGAATAATTACATGTTTTATCGCAAGATATTTTCTTTACAAGTATTAGAACCATCAGTTTTTGTGAATCAGATGTAACATTCGCTCTTATAAGTGAAGGCATGAAAATTAGCAATATACATGTTCATTCTATAATTTTAGGAACTGACTGTGTTACACTTGTTGTCATAAAAACAAGCAAATCTCATCACACTATTTTGATACAGATGCCTCTCTAATTTTACTTTAGAAAATTACTGTTGTTAAATTAACCACAGCCATTTTTTTTTTGAGACAGAGTTTCTCTGTGCACCTGCCCTGGCTGTCCCAGAACTCGAACTGTAGACCAGGCTGGCCTAGAGGTCACAGAGAACTGCCTGCCTCTGCCTCCCAAGTGCTGGGATTAAAGGCATGCCCCACTACCACCGAGCCTTAAACAGAGCCATTTTTTTTTTTTTTTTTGGTTTTTCGAGACAGGGTTTCTCTGTGTAGCTTTGCTCCTTTCCTGGGACTCACTTGGTAGCCCAGGCTGGCCTCGAACTCACAGAGATCCGCCTGGCTCTGCCTCCCGAGTGCTGGGACTAAAGGCGTGTGCCACCACCGCCCGGCAAACAGAGCCATTTTAAACCCGTCTTTCCTGCAAGCAATTTTTGCTTTACTCTCATACTTTGCTGATGTTTGCACACTTGGCCAAAGGCCGAATTGTGTATTTCCAAGGAAG